GGGTATAATTCCCAGGTTCCATTTTGGCTGCAGGAACTGTGTTAGGAGCTTTGAATTGACTTTTCATATATTTACAAGTTTATCGCTGAATGAACTGACAAAACTAAACCCAAGAGAAAATTTCTGAGTTTTTCAAAGTCCCATAAATAATTAGTGGCCACGATCTAATTTGAAAACATGTCATCTTTCTCTAAATAAAAGACTTTGGCCACTATGCCACATAACTTTACACTGAGACTGAGATAATATATTGTCTTCAAGATACAAACAGCTGAGATCTTTAAAAGCTGGTATCTAAATAAATCAAGAAAATGTCAATAATTTTTCTCTAGTGACTACTTTTAAGTTATCTTTTATTGTTGCAGACTGAGTATCAAATCTTTTTTAAAGCTTCATTATTTCTTATAACTTTTTTCCCCAGTGAATTATCTAGTCACCCTCTTTCTTGAACATTGTCCCATTCCTTAGCCAGATATTGCCAAAGGATAATTTTGATACTTTATTGATGTGAGTTAGAACATTTCTCTTTGTATACAATATATTTTTTTTAGTTTTGAAACTTTTCAGTAGGAATATAGAGGCACAGATATTTTAAATACCCTATGTCTCATTATTTCTTTGTATTCCCAGGCATTCCAAAGTGTCTGACACATACTAAACATTGAAGCAATTAATAAATAGTTGTTTAAAGAGTCATTTTGTAAGGTCTCCATCTGTTAATAAATTATAGCATTTTGTAAAATATTGAAAATTAGAGCTTAGTGAACAAAGTCTATTCTGTAAAGTTTTCCAGAAGGAAAGGATAATTAATTAATTTGAAGTTGTTTCTAGATTTTCCTTTATTTCATGATGGAAAAGGTGTTATTTGATAGAATATTGTGGTTAGGAGTGATATCGGAGGCCCATTTACCTGATTAAGGATTTACTCTACCTCATATCAGAAAAAAACAATCAAAAAAAAAAACCTCCCAGCCCTTGCTTGAAGATCTCCATGGAAGTATGATCATTACTTTTCAAGTAAATTCACTATGGGCTAGCTCTCTTTAATAGATTTATTCTTATATTCCATTTCTTTGACATTTACATTCATTGCTTCTAATTCTCCCATTCAGAAGAAAGAAGAATGAGAATGATTTTCCTCCCACAAACCTTTCATTTAATTAAAGAAAGCAATTCATCTCTGCCCCATTCCAGATCTCAAAACTTTTTTTTTCTTTAGGATAATCATCACTTCTTCCATAGTTATCATATACTGTGGTTCTGAGACCCTCACTATCCTTGCAAGTTGGGTTAAATTGATATTTTTGTGAGTATACACACAGTTAATACTAGGATACTTTCTATTCTGTCCTTGTTATGAATGGATTGGAAGGGGTGGGGGGAGCACTTTTACTTTCCAAATCCATCAAGAAGGTAATTTTTAACACCATGCTACACAGGATGAAAGTGTAATTTAATAATGCAATGGTAAAAACATTACCTATTTAAATAGTGGCAAAGCAAATAATAGAACACACAGAGAAGTCCATTCTCTTCATATATTCTAATGTTCTTCTAAATTTCTGCTAACCTTGAAAACTATCATTCCCAGCTACCAAAATCAAGTCCTTTGAGATGCCTCTTCCTATTTAAATATCTACTTTACTTATGACTATTTGTCTCAAAAATAAAAGCAAAGAAAGTCAAAACAGAAGAGATATATTATGTAGCATAATAGTATCTTTATGACATTAATCCACTATTTGTGTTACAGTTGGAAAAATAAAAGCCTGTCTAATGAGAATGGAGGCTAATCTGTGATTAGCTTGATTTATTTCCTCCAAGTTTCTCTGTGTACTTTTGCTGTTCCACAAGCAAATATTATTAGCTTCACTCATTTTACTTTCATCCAGCATTTAGAATTCTGATCTGTACATTTTAAGCAAAGAATATTAATTTATTGAATGGATGAATACCATAATTTGATTTCTCCAAAATTTTTGATTGCGTGCATCTTTTCTCCTTTTATTAGATCTTAAAATTGGGAGATAATATCTGGAATTCATATTTTGTTGTGGTAATTCAGTCATTTCTGTCATGCCCAACTCTTCATGATCCCATTTGGGATTTTCTCGGCAAAGTTCCTGGAGTGACTTGACATTTCCTTCTTGAGCTCATTTTATAGATGAGGAAACTGAGAATAACAGAATTAAGTTATTTGCCCAAGGTTACATAGCTAGTAAGTTTTTGAAGTTGAGTTTGAACTCAGGTATTCCCGAGTCCAGATCCAGTGTTCTACCCATAGTGCCACTCAGCTGCCCTTTAGCGTTTACATAATATATTAATATTTGCAAAGTACTTTCTATATTCTACTTATTTTGATCACTCCAACAATTCTTTTAGACAGGATGAAGGCCCAGAAAGATTAAGTGATTTATCCTTCATCACACAGCAAGTAATTATCCCAGAACAAGTCCTGCCCTCTATATAGTCTTTCCTGTAGATTTTAGTTTGCATTATTTGCTAACAAATATTTGTGTATCATAGTCAAGGCCCAAACAAAAAATTTTTAAAGCATATCATTAAGAGTTGAGTCCACTATGATTTTATTTTTCCCTCACCAACATCTTATGCAGTCCATATCACATTCACATATTTAGGGAGAAGAGTGAGTAATCATCTTGGATATAATCTTCAGTTAAGTTATTAATATTTCACAATCAAAGTGCTTGAGCTGGAAGATATCTTAGAAAATGCTTTTCAATTCTTCCCCCTCCTCACCAGTCAGTCAGGCCATCAATAAACATTTATTAAGTATGGATTATGCCTCAGGCACTGTGGTAATTCCTAAGTGACTTGTCCAAGTGTGCATAGGTAGCAGGTGTCAGAGGTAGAATGAGAATGCACATATTTAGTCTCCCAACCTATCATTCCTTCCAGTGTAGCACACTGGCCTCAATTCTGGTTTGCACAGGATGACTATTTCATTATTAATTCTGTGTTATTCCTCTCTAGTCCCTGCCCCTTACACATACACACAAACACTTGCACACATGGTCACACAAGCTCATATAATGCTGATATAATTATCACTTTTTCAGATGAAATAGTTATTCACTTTTAAACTCTAGATTAACTAAAATTAATTGAAATAGCCATTTTAGTAAAGTAGAAGAAAACGACTGTGTACATACGCATTATGCATATAGATACAGATTATATATAGAGACAGAAACACACATATGTGAGCATATGTGTGTAAATTCACAAATTCCATAGGTTAATCCATACCTAACAGAAAATTTCCTATAGAATCATCCAAACACTTTGTAACTCATACACGGCTTAAAGGTTTCTAGTTTATATAACCTCATGATACATCAAGTCACACTTTTAATGCTCTAATGTTAGAGAACATTTCTTTATAACAAGTTCACATCATCAATTTTTGCATATATATTTAATATATGTGCATGTTTGTTTCTCTGAGTATAGAGATATGTAAAATACATGTATAACATTTCATAGAATATATACGTATACCTACATTTTAGTATATGTGTGTGTGTGTGTGTGTGTGTGTGTGTGTGTATTTGAATACACACACATACAGAGTCACATATGGGGCAGCTAGATAACACAGTGGATAGACTCCTGGGCCTAAAAATCAGGAAGACTCATCTTTCTGAGTTTAAATCTAGCCTCAGACACTTATTAGTTATGTGACACTGGGTTATTAACTGAACCCTGTTTACTTAAACTTCCTCATCTGTAAAGTGAGCTGGAGAAGGAAATAGCAAACCCCTCCAGTATCTCTGCAAACACATACATGTATGCATTTTGCTGTTTAGTCCTCTTTCAACCCTGTTCAACTCTCCATGATCTCTTTTGGGATTTTTGTGGCAAATACACTGGAGTGGTCTGCCATTTCCATCTCTAGCTCATTTTGCAGATGAAGAAACTGAGAAAAACATCATTGTGACTTACTTAGGATCACACAGCTGATAAGTGTCTGAGGCCAGATTTGAAATTACAAAGATGAGTCTTCCAGACTCCAGAACTGCACTCTATCCATGGTGCCACCTAGCTGCCCTCAAATTCCTTTGATCATCTAATTTCATCAGCACAGACATACTCCAGGGGAAAAAAGTCTCCAAAGGCAACATCTCTAATAAGAGCCTTTCTGAATCCAATCTCAGAGGAGACAAACAATAGACTTACAAAAATATATATACTTCATTTTTTTCTTTGAGAAGTTACTAAATTTGGGAGGAATTAGTCTTATGTAAAGAGAAGACAGATATCTACAGGAGAAGTTATAGCTAATATACCTGAATATGATTAGCCACAATGAGTATTTATTCATCCTATCTAAATATTCCTCATGAAGGAAGTCTGTAGTTCCTAGGGGAACAAGAGGGATGATAGGACAGCCGTAACAATATATCTACATAAATCAATATGGATTTATAATATCCATCTTGAGCTCTGGACATTCGCCTTACACTAAGATGACGGTAACTCACTACCCTGTCATGGAAGCTAGAAAACAAACGAACAAACATACTTGCTCTTTGGATCTTGTCTTCTGGCTTCTTTTTTCTCTGAACTAGGTGAAGATTAAAAAGGATAGAGCTTCTTTAGTGACTGAGGTTTAGAAATACTCCTGGAGATAGCATAGATATGCTCAATGCTCATGTTTTTATGTTGGTGCCCTGGTTAACATTATTTTCTATATGTCATCTCTCTAGCTCCATTGAAGTAGGGGCAGAGGGGACAGGAGTGGAAGGATTTTCAGTCACTTCTTTTGTTTGAATTCACAGTTAAAGAAATGAAGTACCTTATATCAGGACTACATAATTTAGTATGTTATTTCCCTCTGGTTCTCTCCAATATGTGAATGACTTCTAGTTCTAATTTAAACTTCTTCTTATCAAGAAATTAGTAAAGTATAGGAAAATAACTACATCTTTGCTAAAGCTTGATTTTCAGTCTCTGTTGAATAAATGCCTGGAAATAACATGACTGAGTTCATCCTTATTGGATTAACTGACTCTCCAGAAATTCAGATTATCTTCTTTGTGCTATTTTTGGTGATTTACATGTTCACCATGATAGGTAATATTGGCATGATTATCTTAATCAAGGTGGATTCTCACCTCCAAACCCCCATGTATTTCTTCCTGACCAACTTGTCATTTGCTGACATTTGTTATTCATCCACCATCACTCCAAAGATGCTGGTAGACTTATTTTCTGAGAGAAAGACCATCTCTTTTGCTGGTTGCTTCCTGCAGATGTATGTCTTTATTGCTTTGGTCACCACTGAGTGTATCCTCTTTGGATTAATGGCCTATGACCGTTATGTGGCTATTTGTAATCCACTGCTGTATACAGTTATCATGTCGAGGACAGTATGCCTGAAGATGGCCATTGGTGCCTACGCAGCAGGGTTCCTGAACTCATTGATTCATACTAGTTACTTAAGTAGCTTATCCTACTGTGAATCTAATGTCATTGATCACTTTTTCTGTGATACGCCCCCAATCCTCAAACTCTCTTGCTCTGATACACACCTGAATGAAAATCTCATCTTTATATGTGCAGGATTAAATATCATTGGCTCACTACTGATGATCTTCACTTCTTACAGCTATATCCTCTTTTCCATCATGCGCATACACTCAAAGGAAGGGAGGATCAAAGCCTTCTCAACACGTGCTTCTCACTTGACAGCCATCATTTTATTCTATGGAACAGGAACATTTGCTTACATGAAACCTAGTTCAAGGTACTCTTTAAATCAAGACAAGGTGGCTGCTGTTTTCTACACTTTGGTGATCCCTATGTTAAACCCCTTCATCTATAGTATGAGGAATCAAGAGGTGAAGAAGGCCTTAAACAATATGATTTCAAGAACAAAAGGCTCTTCTCTTAATATGATTGTTTTCTTGACTCCAAAAATTAGAGAATAAAATACCAAATCTGTAGCATGTAATGTACTCTATGTCTTTGATTTATGTGGTAGGCTGAACCTGGTAGGATGACTTTAAACTGAAAAGTATATGCACTCAGCACCTAATTATGACCATGTATTTTACATATATTATGAATTGTTTGCATCAGTATGAGCCCTCCCCTTCTCCATTATTCCAAATAGCTGTTGTCTTCAAAAAAAGGAACAAGTACGGAAGAGTTTGATCCTGAGAACTGAAGGGGGTGAGTGTTTTTCAAATACAGCAATTAAAGAATTTTGAGTTAGTGGTGCTGCTTTGTCACCAATGATTGACTTTTCTTCTTTTGTAAGTTAAAAAATGCTTATTTTGATTAATTAGCCACTCCTTTCTGGTGGTAGTGGTAAGGAGGCTTTGTTTGTCATTTTAAGGAGCTCCCTGGTGCAAATATCCTTCTTTAATGTAAACTGGTGTCTCTGCATCTCACTAAATATCCTACAATACCAAAAGTTTAAGTGACTTGCCAAGGTAGAGACAAATATTATACATGTGACGTAAGATTTACACTCAAATATTCCCAACTCTTATGCCGGCCCTCTACCCACGATGTCATGCTGCTCCTTATTATTATTGTTATTTTTTTTTTTGCTAAATTTCTCAAATTCTCTTGCATTTGGATATCCCTACTAATGATATTGATCACAACCCATCCTGGGTCATTCTTGCCCATCTCTTTCCAAAAATTTGCCAAAAAGTCTACACTCTTGGATGTCGCTCTTGACATCAAAAAATAAACAGAACCATTGGATCACATTACGTTCTTTTTCTCTGTTTCCACCCTCCCTTGATGATATCCAGGTAATTCTCAATTACTGTTGTAGGTATATAGTTACTGTGAAAGATTTGAATAAATACTCTCATTTCTAGTACTTGACTAAATATATATAATGGCCATTTGAAATTGAATTTCACATTACTAAATCAGTTCAGTTATTTATTGGAAAGCTTATCTGTATGTATTTGTGTCTCTATGTTGTTTGGAATTATTAGTCTAAAGGTTATTCTTTGGAAGTAACCTAGTAAAAGACAGACATGGATGACCAAAAAAAAAAAAAAGCATCAGAACAAGGGACAAGATTCAGGATTATAGTGAAGCTCTAAGCCCATTACACCAAAATGGAGATATCACTGAGCTTATAGGCAATTGAGACAGACTTAGCTGAACCAAGGACAAGTATATTAAGTCACAATTAGTCAACAGGAATATATTATGTGCATACTATGTGTCAGGCTCTGTTATAAGACTGGAAGTATAAAGGGGAAAAACAAGCCCTGCTCTCAAGGAACTCCAAGCATGTCAGTCAATTAATATTTATTAGTCACCCATTATGTTCCAGACTAGGGACCCATGCAGAGGCAAAAGACAGTCCCTTGAGAAGGCTTCCTGTTGAAGACAGGGTTTTAGTTTGAACATCAAAGAACCTAGTAGGCAGAAATGAGGAAGGCGATCATTCCAGGCATGGGGCATAGCTATAGAAAATGTTTAGGTCTGAGAGATGGAGTGTCTTATTCATGGAAAAGCCAGGAGATCAGTGTCTTTGGAACAAAGAGGATGTGGAGGGGAGTAAATTCCAAAACGTCTGGAAAGGAATGAGAGGGCTAGATTATAAAAGTCTTTGAATGCCAAATGGAAAGTTTTCATTTGATCCTAGAGTTTTTAAGGGGCCACTGGAGTTTATCGAATTTGGTAATGGTGTGTGGTTTTGACATATTTGGACCTACACTTTGGAAAATAACTTTGGTGGCAGAATGGAAGAAGTACTGGAATTGGGAAGCATTTGAGACAAGAAGACCACGTGAAAATTCTATTGTAATTGTCCAGGAATGAGGTGATGTGTGCATGCATCAGGGTATTGGCAGTGTTAGGAAATAAAAGGGCACACTTAAGAGAAGTGCTTTGGATGTAGAATCAATTGAATTTGGCAACTGTTTTGATGTGACGGTGTGAAGAATGGGGAGTCACATGTGACATTTGTAAGTTAGGTTGCAAGGCTGGGTGACTTCAAGGATGGTGGTGTTCTCATCAGTAATATCAGGAAAGTGTTTCCATTCCCAAGGAAAGCTTGATAAAATAGACAAATGAATACAGTTTCTGCAAACTCCAACAGAGCATGAATGATTCAAAATCAAGAAAACGGACATTCTCAAAGGAATTCCTTAGACATTGTTAAGCTAAACTTCCTCATAATGGAATTAGGCATTCTCCTGTGAGTACTCAACAATGATCAATATGGACATTGTATGAATGCATTAATTACTCTGTGTGCATATTGGAAATTCTGTGTGTGTGTGTGTGTGTGTGTGACAGACAGAGAAAGATCATGATGATAGTTCTTACTGTCACTGAAAATCAGAATTCCATATAGATGGATATTTTTAATAATTGCTATTCATATCTATCAAATATGCACACACACACACACACATATATATATATATATATATATATATATATATATATATATATATATACATACACATATACACACAAGCCAATATGTGCAACCACACATATAAACACACACATATACACAATACATATATATAGAAAATATTTTACTAAATATTTAGTTGTGCATATACATAAGATAATAGTAAAAGTCATATACTTATTATGTGCCAGGAATCATGTTAAACACTTTAAAATAATTATCTAATTTGATCTTTAGAACAACCCTAGGAGATATTCACTATTATTGTCCCAATTAGTAGCTGAGAAAATTGAGGCAATCAGAAATTAAGTGAACTGCCCGGGGTCAAATAGGTAGTAAATGCCTGAGACTATATTTCAAATTCAGATCTTCCTGACACCAAATTCATGCATATTAGTTAGTGGTCCCAGGTGTATGTTTATGTGTGTGTATACATATGCACACACACATCCATAACCCAATGCTTAATTAGTAAGTCAACAAACGTTAAATAACAATATCCTATTTGCTTAGCAGTAGAGATACACAGGGGAAAAAATGAGATAATTTCTTCCCTCAAATAGTCTGTGTTCTCTGACATGGAAATGAGGTTGAGTTATTGAAATTTCTGCCAATGGAACATAAACTCTACATAATTCTACTGTGCTTTGAGTACAGTCTCAAGAATAAATCAATTTTTTTTCTTCAGCACTACCCTAATTAATAATTCAGAGATTCATCACCAACAAGCTGGTCACCTTGTTGAATCTTTTGGCCAATTCAGCCTGTGAAACTAAGTCCAGTGTTGCCTCTTTCTGTATCTTTAGTGATGGTAAGAGAGGAGCACAAAATGGAAATAAACGTACTCCAAATTACACAATTTTAAGAAAATTTATGAACTTTACTTAGCTGATGATAATATAAATGTGAGACTACCACTTATGGACTTTAATGTAAATATGGGTATAAGTAAAGATGGGGGAACATCTGTTAGAAAATGTGGCTCAGAAATAAAACACAAGAGCAGAAAAAAGATTTGAAGACCAAAGAGAATCTTAACACATTTCTCATGAATACTTCTTCAAGAAAATAATCAGTGTATATTGAAAAAAATAAGGACAAATAATATTTTAAGAAATGAAGCAAAATATATATTGCAGATAGGAAATGAGTCATTACTGATGTGTGACTCATTCCTAATTCAGTTTTCTGTGTAATCAGACCATTGACTTGGTATAGGAATGATTAAAATCTAAATAACCAATACAGTGTAAATTCAGAGACTGTGTATGAATGTACACATGCTTTGTTTGTGTAACCCAAAGAGGCAGCTGGTGGCATGTTGGACAGAACACTGGGACTGCAGTTAGAAAGACCTAAATTCAAAATCTGACAGAGACATTTATTAACACTGTGTCCCTGGGCAAATAATTCAACCTCTGTATGCCTCTGTTTCCTCGCTGAAAAGTGAGGATAATAGTACCTACCTTCCAGGATGGATGTTAGGATAAAATGAGATATTTGTGTAAAGCACCTAGCACAGTGCCCGACACATAGTAGGCACTTAATATAAGTTTCTTCCTTTCTTTCCCTTGTTATATGATAAATGCTTATTAAAATGAATTAGAAAATATTAACCAAAAAAGAATAAATGCAAAAGATAAAAATAATGTGTCAACCAATTGAAATACTTGAATCATGAGGGTTAGAAAATTTACTAATTGTCAGAAGGTCATAGCAATAGAAAAGAAATAGACTAACTTATAAGTTGATAGGGGAGTTTAAGTGATAAATTATTATATAAAGAGTCCTTCCCTCCCAAAATCTAAATCAAACTTTTAAACCGTTTAATTTACTTGATAGCCAGCAGAGACTGATTTTGACTTTGCGATCATCAAATGAGATCATATATGTATAGCTCTTCACAAGTTTTATAGTGCTATAAAATACTAGTTATGATTTTTTCATGTCAGCAGTCATTAGTTAAGCATCGGCTCTGTGCCAGAAAGGCAAAAAGAAAAAGTCCTTGCTTTCAAGAATCTCTGTCTAATGGGGGAGACAGCTTTCAAATAACTATTCACATACATAAATACATACATACATGCATACATATACAAAAATATACATAGAGATTTATGAATGCACATAAAATAATTGGAGATAGTTATATAGGAAAGGCACAAAATCAAGGATGACCTGGAAAATCTTCCAGAAGAAAGTTAGAATTTAGCAGAGACTTGAAGTAAGTCAGAGAAGCCAAGAGGTAGAGAAAAGGGAGGAGAAAATTTCGGGCAAGTTGGGTGAATCATCTCTGTCAAACCTATATGATGATATTTTAGAAAAGTCACATTTGATGGTCAGCCATCAAAATGCAATTCAATTCCTTGGAGGAAAGAACTATAATCACTGAAATCTCAGATCCCTTTGGGTATTTGAGAGCATGCATACATACACACATAGGACTCATCCTGACTTCCTCACTATTTCTCACCTCTCATATCTAAGCTATTGCCAAACCTGTCAATTTAATCTTTGCAATAACTCTCCAAT